ATGAGAAAAACGCGGCGTGCATGGACCCTAAAGGTACATTATACCCATTGTGATATTGTGACATTCTTGTGCCATGTTCCAGTGTCAACAAACACGTTGGGGCAGCATTTTTAGCTATAGACTTAATATTATTCACTTTCAAAAAGTTATTCTAAATAATTATTGTTGATTAATTTTTACAGTTTATTATTCAAACACCAAAAGCAATTTATTTAACCAAAGTTGAGTAATTATGGCTAATACAAGTTCCAGTTAATGGATCCTAATTAAAGAACTAGAAAGATACAATACGCGTGGTTATTATTAATAATACAAGATACACAATTATGCTACTATAGTCTGGTCTGTGAGCACGTAGAATTTTATCCAATGACCCCAAGCTACCTATCCTTATCACTCGCGCGTAATTATGTTGCTGTCGCGCTCGCACACTTACTGCGGGCGCCCGTCGCACAGTCGCGACAGCAATATAATTACGCGCGAGCGATAAGGATGGGTAGCTTGGGGTCATTGGACAAAATTCTACGTGCTCACAGACCGGGCTTTATTACTTTACTAAATTCTATATTTTATACCTTTATCAGCAGGTATTTATGGTTAGTTTTAGCATCACTCATTTTTATCATTATTTTAAGTGCAAACCGTATTATTCAGATAAAATCACTTTTTCGTGGACAGTAATCACAGGGCGCGAGGGCAGAATGTGATCCTTTACTTTGTGACGTCACATTAAATTTATTTAATTAAGCCTCGCCTTAAGTTCAATTTTAAATTAACATACTACTTCCTACTGACACATTTAAAAATACACAACACTAGATTCAATAATTTTATAAACGCAGTATCGTGTAAAAAACTATTTTCTATTGATCCATAAGCATAGTTTACAAATCGATTAATAATTATATCCACGAATGTATTTACAACAATTTGTCTCTTGCCAACTATTTTTCTATTTTATCGATAAGCATAGTTGTATAAACCGATTAATGTTAGATACACGAACGTATTTACAAGAAATTCTCACTCACACCAAAGTCAGTTTTCCCGCGGATCCGAAAGCCGAAACTTGTAAGCCACACCTTAAGTCCGTTTTATTTTAAGTTTGTGTTTGTTTAAAGTATGCCTGTGGTGTTGCCAGCACACAGGCGCTTCTCAAATGTAGAATATGATGGCGGGTATCTGGCCGTCCTCGACGGAGGTGCCGTTGTTGTTGCCGGCCGCGTATGAGAACTGAAACACGACCTTTTCGCCGTTGTTGCAGTCTACAGGCACACGGCGGAGACCTTTGGTGCCGTAGTACGAGTCCGTCCCCTGAAGAAAAAAACGAAAGACAATCAAATTAGTGCTCTTTACTGCCAATTGAGCCATATTGTATCATAGGCGATAATATCCATACAAGAAACCAAAACCTTAATTTTTTTTAACTACTTGCACATTTTTTTCGTATTTTTGTTTGACAAATTTTGGATATGATATTGATGCCTTTCAAATTACTTAGACTGGTTTTAGAGCCACGCTGACGCACGCTGACCGACAGCGCTGACAGCCGAAATGTATGAAGCGTCGGCGCCGAGCGATCAGCGTCACTCAGGGACGTTCCCTTGAATTACATACATATTGATCTGTCAGCGCCGACGATCAGTGAGCGGTCAGCGCGATTCTAAAACCCGCCTTAGATTATGTACGCGAATCAGCATTTCAAGTCAGTCGTCATGCTATTTAGATATGGTTGTAGCATTCAGTAAGACCTAAAGCCAAGACAGACAAGCGGAGATAAGATGCGCGGGTAGTTCATGCTCCTGAATGATTATACCTACTTCTTTTTCAGCCTATCAACTAACAATTCAATTTTTAAATGGAGGACCGTCTTGTCAGTTTCGGCATATTTCTCCCGCCAATTCTTTGTCTCGAAGCGCTGGTAGAGAAAAAAAACGGCATGAGATGGGTAAAGATGGCCTTGGATGGACCCAGGGCGATCTTTATAATATTTTTTACTTAATGCTCTGCTTTTTAAATTATTGTGAAATCTAAAATCTAATTCCATGCAAAGTAAGAAAATATAGGTGACTGAAGGATGAAAATAATAAGAAGTTAATTAAATGTTAGTTTGCAGAAAAGAAAATCAGTAAATCTACTCTACTGCTGCTACACAGATTGGGTACAGTATCATAATGGATAATCGCAAAATTAAGAAAAAGAAGCAATATTTATGTAAATATTGCTTCTTTTTCTTTATGTAATTATAATATTTATGTAATTACAACAATGTAACCTGTAAAAGATGTACTGTGAGTATTTATATAATCTGAAACATCTCAGAAAATGATGTAACAAACTCCCTGATTCAAATACACCAAATACATTTATTATGTTACCACTGTAATTATTATTGTTCTACTTTAACAGTGCTTTGTTTTATAATTTTATAAATATTAAGGCCAATTTGATACTAATCACTATTGCAATATCAATGCAATTACTTACTTAATTTTAGTTTTGTAATTACAGTTATTACAAGTGTTGCAAGATGATCAATGTAGTCAAGTTTTAACAAGTTTTATTAACAGCATTAAAACAATTACTTTCAATTAAGTTCTTAATTAATTAATAGATATGAACATAATAGTCACTGGCAAAATATTTTTCATGTTAAATCAAAGATAAATCCATAGATGTTTTTTGATGAAATATTTTGGAGACATACCTTAAGTTTAGCACTGGCTATGTAGGAAGTGTTGGGTAATATTTCGACAGGCTCTTTAAACATGGCCCTGAAGGTGTCATCAGTGCCATCACAGCAAAATGTTGTCGTGTTGGACCCACACACTTTCTTTGTGGCCAAGTGGATGATCTGTAATGACAAAAGAACTTAATAATATGCAGCATGCACACCAAAAATACCACGTTTTTTTAGTAATGTCATGAAGTATGTAAAATGCAATAAACAAACCTGTAGATGAACTTCATATTCTGACGGTCCAAAATATGATCCATACAGCCCAAACCCTACCACAAAAATCCTTTGGTCTACCGTGAATCTGATCCTATCACTAGTGCCACTGTAACCCCACCTAGACTCAGTTTGCGGAAACCTGTTCACCGTCAGTTCTTTGCCAGTCATGCAGCATCTCGGTGTGTCCAGGAACCCAACATTTGGTTTAGGGTTCACAGTGAAATAAAGAAACAATTGAACTATTTCCCTGTCATCTAGCAGGCCACTTTGTGCAGGCCCCATGGCAAATTCTTCAACAGACATCAGGGGAAATCTGATTGCGTTGAAAGCACGACCAAGAACAGTCCGTTGGTTTATAGGGGTCACGGGCAAGTGACGTCTGGTGCATTCTGCTTCAGACCAGCGTAATACTGCTGCGAAAATTTTAGCCTCTCTGATTCTTAATGTATCCCTGTAAAATTAAATAATTTACAGTTAATAAACTAATAAAACGTTAAACAAAATTCACAAGTAAATAAAAACTTTATTACAACATATACCTCTCCAGCACAGCGTTTAGGGTGTCTTGATCAATATCAGTGAAGCCCTCAGCGTTGAGTGCGTCTGTTGTGTTCTTGTCAATCATTTCTAGGCACAGAGCAGCTAGCTGGGGCTCATCAAATAACCGAGCCTGTGTCAAGAGCAAGAAAGCATTATCTGTGCCTAAGTTGCTTTTCAGGAAGTCTACACAGTGCTCCTCTAGGGCTGCAACTGCATACTTCTTGGCAGTATACAGAGTGGTCATTACACTCTCAGGACCGATCCTAACCTCATCAGAATATAGGAACTTTAACAAAAGTAAGAAAGCAGCTGGCTCAACATCAGGTAACTCTACTTCATGAGATTTGGTTGCCAGGACTCCATTGAACATGGCGTCAAAGACGGCGCTGCCTACCGACAGCACGAATTTGTGCGCCGGGATGACCTGCTGGTTTGAGTCTTTTCCAACAATGAAGTGGACGTCGCTCAGGATTTCGTTATTAAATAAGAAGGATAAGCGTTCTTTTACGGTGGTTTTAGTCGCTTGCCAGTTGTGGAGGCGGCCGCTCGAGTTGTTGGTGGGCATGTTCTCTATGGCGGACGAGGATGGCGCTGGCTCGCTCGGCTGGCCGTTGTCGTCGCCGCGCATCTGCTCGATTTGTCTCGCGAGCTGATTCGACGGCAGCATGTTCTGAGGCGGGTTCTCCTCGGCGGCTTCCGCATCTTCCATCCTCACGTTCAACAGTCTATTCACAATATCATTCTTCGAGCCGGATGCCATAATAATAACACGCACTAATAACTGTTTAGCTTCTGAACATAGCACACTACGATGACACTCAATATCTTAGTTTGGTGGGTAAAAATAGATGTAGATGTTTGTAATAATAGTTAAATGAACAAAAGCAGTGAATTACAATGAAAAGGACTTGATTTTATGATGAAAACAGCTTCGAATTGTGTTTATCACGAGATGAAGTTTGGATAAAATTTTGACGCTTGGGTGACAACGACGTTGACATTTGACAGCTGACTGCGGCGTTCTTCAGTGTTGCCAAATATAGAAATAACGGTATTTTAATAATATTACCGGTAACTTAGTTTACCGGTAGATCAAGGTCTAAGAGCGGGAAGTTTTGGTTTGAGCTAGCTAGGTAAAGATATAAGTTCATTCCCATAAAATAACCTATAAAATTACGCCTGTCTCAACAAGCGGCTAAAGTTCCAGTTTTGTTTTTGTGATTTTTGTTCTGTGTAAATTCTGCGCCAATAGGCTTTGGCAATTTTGAAAACTAATAAAGTTAACAGCTAATATTGTTAACGAACCCTGCCCTGGTAATTTCCTTTTATTTTAAAATGAAATGATCAATTTTTGTTTCAATTGAGTTTTTTCAAAAGCATTTATAAGCACTTTACCAGTCTATTGCCTCGAATTACAAGCAGTTTATAGGGTAAAATCCCATCTTATTTCACAGTTTCACTCACCGCAACTCTGAAGATAAAGTGCACCTAAAGCGGTGGCCCGATGAGAGATGCGCAAAAAGACGCGCCAGAACTGTGCCTGAGTCATGAGCAAAGAAAGTGTACGAAAAGTCTTCGTAGAAGGTGAGTCTTCTAAACCTTCCTAAGCCCTTTTAGGTCTAGAGCAAGTATCCCAGAACCCCTAAATAAAATATCGTTAAATATAGTGGATATTCTAATAGACCACCTCATGTAAATCTATTTCATGGAATTTTACAAGTTCAATGACAATTATTAATTACAAAATAACAAACCGAGAGCAATGAAGAATGTTCACTAATTTTGTTTTTTAGCTTTCTGTATTCTCTGTTAAAAATAAAAAATACACGTGAAAGAATTATTTCGATACGTTAATTAGTTTCCAAGATATTGAATTTTAAAAGTGCGGGCGGCGGCCGGCCCGCCATTTTATGCGCGTGACGTCATATTACAACGACTGGCTCATATTTGTATGGGTGGAATCTTGCAAGACCCACTTCCAGGCAACCGATTAAGCTGAAATTTCGCAAACACATGTGATTTGGATGACCATGCAATATTATGATGACATGGAGCTGATCTGATGATGGAGCTGGAAGGTGGCCATAGGAACTCTATAATAAAACGACTTAAATGCATCGAGTTTGGGCTCGTTCGTTTTGTATTGATGAGTATTTTAATTCTATATAGTAATCGGGGTCTAATGATGGAGCTGGAAGGTAATTCGCAATAAAACGACACAATCGCATCAAGTTTGGGTTTGGTTCAATTTTAATTTCTGTGATGGGTCTGGGTGTTATTATGTATAAAAAGTTTGTATTTACAAAAAAAAATGTATTTAAGTATGTTAATATCCGTTTTCTAGTGAGCGGACACTGTGAATGTACGTCACACGGGGTCACGTGACCGTCGGCGGGACTCAATATTTAAGCGAACTTTGAATGCCTATAAAATCATAACTACTGGGTATTTTTGAATGAAATAAAAAGTAATGTATTTGTAAATGTAAAAGCTTAACTGTAACATAGGTTTCAAGTGATTTTGCATACCTAGTAACATTCTCAATTAATGTACGAGTTTAAGGTTAGTGTAAACTGACCTTTACGATCAACCGCTCTCCGCGGCCGCCACTGCGTATCTCTCAGACGAAGACCTATGTAGTTTTACAGCTGACACGTCTGGCTTTAAAATCTTGTTTGTTAAGTATTTCTCTCCCCTTGCAATAAGTAAGTTATTGCGCTAGCAAATAATACTACTGTTAAATTTTGCATGATTCAGACACATAGTACCTACTACTCGTATTTTCGAAAATATTTTAGTCTGATTTTTGTGTGTCCCTCCTTAATATTGATACTTAACATAGAACACACACTAACTCAATATTAATTTAAATTACTAGGTATTTAACTTTAAATTGCTAGTCATTCAAAAACAATAATTTTGAGTTTAAGTAAATTAATACAGTAATATTAATATGTATACAGACAAACGCCTTCAATGATACTTAGGCAAATTCTTATTTAAGTTGGAGGGCAACAATAAAATTCAAACCGTTGCCTATTTCATGTTGGGGGAAAATACTAGAGCTAGAGTTGAGATTAATACGGGTCAGACATATTAAGAAATCTACTAAGTTTACGAAAGTTTATGCATGCATATTTTGGCCACTTAAAAAAGCTCCAAAATATGTTAAATTCATTTTCGTAAGAGGGTACAAATAATGTTGCATATTAATATTATTTGTAAGGTTACAAGATCACCCTTCGTAGGTCTATGGCTAATTTCGCACGTCATCAAGGGCACGCACGCGCGCCACGGTCGATCCAGCTACAGGTGCTCGCCCGGCAGTCGACTGGTCGCCGTCTGCAGGCCGACACCGCACACCCTTCACCGGACTCCCAAAATAATCACAAGTCAATACAAATCATGACTGACTGAAGTGAAAATAGTTAATCATAGTCTGTATTCTCACTCAGATTTGCAAAATGCGCCTGATAAAACTGTATCAGTGATATTATATTTCTGTAACTTTGCGTTTACTAATTCAACAGGCGCTTACTTAGTTCTGCTTACTTATGGTTTTCGGTAATCTTTGAAATTCATATTTTAATGCTTATCTTATGTGAGTGCCATTTTCCTAAAATCAAAAGTGTCTTTTTAAAATTTAATGAAGCCTTTGGAAGTGACTTTTAAGTTAAACAATGATGACAATGAGAAGCTTGATAAGGGTGGACTTAAAATTCAAGTGAATTTCATAAATGTGAACTAGCGTGATGTTTACTACTCAGTTTGTCACCGTGATGATTTAAATACTTAGTAAGTATTGTAAGGCAGTTTTTTTAATACATGCAATTAAATTATGTAGCTAGGTATCATTTATTTAAGTACTTGTCTAATAAAACATTTCAGTACGCCCAATAAGTAAATTGTAGAGATAAGAAAGTAAAATTATTAGAGTACAAAGCCTTAAATTTTATTAATTAACGTAATATGCATACGCTTTGTGTCTAAAATATGGGGCCTCGGTGTAATAATAAAACATAACAATGGGGCGTATTTTTAAGGCATTCAAATTCCAACTAGCTTTGGATGGAATTTGTAACATTCTTATGTGTTTTATTAACTCATGGGATTAGTTAAAACATAAACTGATCCACATGTATTACTTATGTATGTTAAAAGAAAACCCTGTGTAATTTTAAACGACGCATCCGTTTCAAAGTTTATCTTCAATTATACATGTTCTGGTCATCTATTAATTGTATTTATGTTTCTAGCGGCATGATGCTAAGCCCGAAGATCCAACGTAGCATCCGAGTGAACGACGGGCAGCTCATCGCACTCTCCGACCGCGCTCAGTATGACCACTCGCAGGCAAGTCCATACAATGAACAGGACAAGTTACAAAATGTGACAGTGTTGTAGTTCCAAAATCACTTGACTCCAGCGGTTCTAGGTATTACTCGAAGTACATACCTATCTCCATGAAGCGATTTAAGTGAAAACTGACATATTTTGTACTATTAGGGCGATTAAATAGTTTTTTTTGGCGGTCATAAATGATCCTGGCTACACAGGAGTTGCAGTGGTGAACGAGAAGTGGGCATAGGTTGTACTTAACTGTGGTATTAGAACCTCATAACTAAAACAATGATTACTAATTGTACCCATTATAAGATACATTGCTATTTAGGCGGTCTTTTCGCTTTTCGCTTAGCGGTCCCACCTGATTTTAATAGGTTGCAATAAGAGGCGAATGAGCAATACTTATATAATTTAATTTAATCAAATTTTACGTAAATGATAATACCTTATTTAAAGCATTTTATTCATCATATTTTTAAAATTAGCTGGTCCTTTTGATCTCTTGCGTAGGCCTGTGGCGTGGATAAATTAAATTGGCAGAAATTACATCGCGTAAAAGAAATTGCACAACAAGCAGTCCCGAAATAACACATTACTTAAATATCTACTACTTAGTCTGCGCCCTCTGAGCAGAGAGAGGTCAAACTTCCAAGTGCCTGGCTAAGTGGCTACAGAAGATTCATAGAAACAAAGATGTCTGGCAAACATTGCATTGTAACTCATGTAAAACTTCGTTCGATAATACCTAATGAAAAAGTAATTAAATTAAATTGATTATTTACCTGAAATCAAAACGTTTGGTTAAATCTCTGCAAAGATAAATTATTGAGTATAATTTATCCATACTTGTACGTTCAAATAACCGGTGCTTTACAGTAGAAAACACACAACCGTCATATTATACTTAACCGTTGAAATTTAGGTTTTCGGTTTTCGATTTAGGTTGTTTTTCGAGTTAGGTTTTCGAGTTGGGTTTCCGAGTTAGGTTTTCGTGTTAATTACAATCGTACTCAGTATCCCCTACATAAAAAAAAACACTACTACTTACAAATACTAATCCTGTTAAAACTGCCTACCATTATTTTGTGTGCAAGCACGGAGCTTACGATACTTCACTCACTGTCACTCGCGTTGAAAGTGAGGTTTATTAATTGTTCAGCAGTTACCAATATCCTCTTCCTCAACGCTTCAATGGATGTCACAGTAACATACACTAAGTCCTTCATGTTCTGTTGCCTTTTCGATCTAAATCCAATTTACAAATCAAAATGAAAATTTTGTCCTACAGCGCTCTCAAGTTGATGTTTTTATACAGCGAAGAAAGTTGATAACTTTTGTAACTTTTTAGAAAGCTTATAAAACTCGTTAGTTATTCTACTAATTTGTACGCCAACTTCCATACAGTTTTTTCCAATACCTTACGGCGAAGTTCGGGAGAAATCAAAAAATAAAAAATATTGTTACTAATGACCGTTTATTTCTGAGATTATGTAAGTTTTGGACAAGCACTTTGTTTTTTTAATGATTCCTAATTTTTCAGCTTTCAGAAAAGTATAAAAAACTAGAAACAATCGAACTGCCTAAGGCGGGAATTGAACCCACAACCTTTCGCAGACCTTAGGCAGTTAGATTTTTTTCAAGTTGCTTATTAGTTTGAGAAGCGACTCTAATCGCTAAGAAATTTTTTAATGTTAAGTTATCTTTAAAAGAACACGACGAATCCTGCATTAGGTAGTTGACCCTCTAACGCTAGGGTATTGTTTACCTCCCAACTGTTGAACCCTAGTCCTTCACAAAGAATGGTCATGGATCAATTCGATCTGGGCACTCAGCACGCAAGCACGTTGCAACAGGTTGGCCTGGCTTTTGTCCAAGGATCAGTTAATGCCAGAACAATATAATGTCCCGGTTTTTGTCCCTCTGGCTTGATGAGATTGAATGAGATCTTTATGCTCGGAATGTCTCTCGATTGAAGATACAATAAGAACATGGAATCAAAAATAAAGAAATGAAACTCAGGGAGCAAGTCGAAGTTGTAATGGGCTGGTGACATTATTTGGTAGTTGAAATGGTTGAAAATAAAATTTGAAATACACGGCCAGTTACATAAAAGAGCGACAGGGGAACTGAAAAACAGTTTTTCTAAGTAGTATTTTGCTACTAGAATCAATGATTTTTTGTAATTGGATGTTAAGTTAATTAAATTACTATTGTTGAGTTTTCAGAGAGTAGAATAGTTTCTCTCAATTTTTTATGAGCAAACTGAAGCAGTGACGTGAGACAATTTTTACAAAATTAAATGATGATGATGGTTATATTTACAATATGCCTTATTTTATTTTCATTAAGAGTATTGAGAATAACATGTAAAATATTATACGAATGTTACATGAAAATGAACTGCACCTTTGTATGTAAGTTTCACGGTAAATAACATGTGTACTACATTCACTCGCTCCCACGCGAAGCAACACGTGTACAGATGTTATCGTGTAACATTGACACTGATTGTGCATTGCAGTTGCTAGCCGTAGTCGTTACTATGTGCTTGTATTTTATATTTATTTTATGTATTCAGGTATATTAGTATTACCAATTACCAACAACTGACATACAAAAAAAATGCATTTAACAACCTTATATTTATAAAAGTTTACGCCCGTATTCACAAACGATGCTTGCTTAAGTGAAGCAGTAAGTCGAACGCACAGCGTTGAATAGAGCTCTGTGATTGGTTCGTACGTCACCCTGTGCGTTCACGCGCACTGTGAGAGCTCATAGTAATGTTTGTGAATACGGGCGTTAGTATCATAGTAAGTACCTATGTCATGCCAATAACAGGTACACGCAACTTTATCAATTTTATTCAGGTTTCACGGCGGAATTATTTTTATTTTCGAGTTGTATATTCGTGCTCGTAGTACTGTGCTACGTACGGCTTGTAGCAACTTGTAGCTACGGCGAGTCATGCATGCTACGCTACGTCTGTAGCTCGAAGAAAAGAGGTAAACGCGACGCCGGTCTTCGTGCCTCGGGTTGAGGCGTTCGTTGTAAAAGAAAATACAGTACTACCACATAATAATAATAATAAGTACTATGGTATTACTACTTAGAAGTACATATCAGTCGATCATAAAACAAATAATCCAGCATCTTACCACCTTAAAAAGTAAAACTCAAAAACAATAATTTATTTCTGCAAGTTCAATGTCTTTCTGTGTTTATAAATGTATCTCCACTTATTATATTAAATAAGTGGAGTTGGCTTTAAAACTAAATTATAGTTGATCATCTTTCTATTACTATAGCTGTAGAGTGTACTATTCTACATCAATCCCCGTTAGTTAGTTACCCTCAGTTTCAGGTTTCGGAATGTATCTCAACGGAAGGCAGCTAATTACAAGTTTAATGGACGAGGAGCTGGTGGAGGAATATGTACTTTGGCTCCTGAGTGCTAAGAGCCAAACTTGAACCAACGCTCCCACAGCATTGGGGTCAGATGAATAAAATATTGCAATGGTAGTTCTCTTGTAATCAGTGAGTTTGGTACAGCGAGACTAAGAGTAGGAGCACACCGTTGATTTTTAGTTGGCCGATAGTTGTGCCCGATTTTAAATTGTATGAAGATTCGGCCAAATCGAATCGGCGTAGTGTGCGCACTCCCATACATGCCCATACTGATCAACTGCTCGACTAAACTATCGGCCGACGAAAAATCAACGGTGTGCGCCTACTCTAATAGTGACACCGCGAATTTCTGTAATTAGGGCGCCCATAAAAAATGCGTCTACCTAACTACAATGTTAAATTAATGAATTAAAATGTTCTTCTTTTTCTTCCTCGGTCTCTCACTGATGAGGATCGCGACCACATTAACGCCCGTATTCACAAACATTACTACGAGGTCTCACAGTGCTCGTGGACGCACAGGGTGACACACGAACCAATCACAGAGCTCTATTCAACGCTGTGCGTTCGATTTGTTGCTTCACATAAGCAAGCATCGTTTGTGAATACGGGCAATAGAGTTCCTCAACAAATTAAAATATTATGTTACCTAAAAGTAAATAAATATGTACATGGCAAATTAGATACATAAATATTAACACAAGTCAGAAAAAAAATGGTGAATCATAAAACTTAATTAAACCAGACCTTTAGTAGATATTTGGTTATTTGTATCGGGCACATGCAATCGCTATTTGTTCCGATTGCTTGTGCTCCAAATACAAATGTGCTCTAATACGGACCGATCGTTATAAGCGTACATACTAAGCGAGAATGAAATGGAAATTGTTGCGTATTCATACGATAAATTGATATTGAGGGTAGATCTAATTTGTTCTTTGTTCCAGGCGGGGTACTTGCACAAGCGAAGCGCCGACAACACCAAGTGGCAGCTGCGATGGTTCATCTTGTATCAGGTATGTAATTTTTAATTAATGTGTAATATGTTTTATTACGTTTTCTACTTTATATTTTCAGATTTACTTACTGACTTATATTAGAAAATGGCTGGAATCGCTTAAGGTTCTTTAGGTTATGTTATGTTAGGTTATGTTTGTGTTTAACTTTAATTAACTCGCTACAAATAAGTATGTATTTAGAATGCATTGTTAAATCTTCATTTCCGCTGATTTCTAATAGCGGTTCAGTAAAAATATCGTTGTTAACAAGTTTAAACGTAATATTCATAACTTCACTACTACGTGACTTGAAGAATGAGTACCTACTTACCTTGTTGTATGAAACCACGAGGGCTCATACAATGGTAAAGTGAATACACCTTTAGCTTGCAGTTTAGCACATGCTCTACATCACTCTACACGCTTTTTAGAAATGAAATGAAAACGAATAATTTGAAAACTCTCCGTAACTAAACGGAGTGACGGCCCGAGAGAGCCTACTCGCCGCAAAGGGCCCTCGAGGACTCCATGGCTCTCGGCTCTGAATCTATGCAGAATAAATAAAAGTGTGAATTTTTTTATTTCTAAACGACTTTTTGATCAAATGAAATAGGGTTTTGATTTCTGAACTCATTTAGTGCAAGCACTAGGTACCTATGCTAAAATGTATTATTATGGTTATCTAATGTGGAGTTAATGGGAACATTAATTGCTGAACAAATAAATAGCTTATTTTTGATGGTTCAAATTAAAAGAGTGCATGCATTTTAGCTAAGTAAGTAGTTCGCCATAGGTATACTAATACGGAGTTAATTGAATTTGTCACTCTACGTAAAATCTTTTATTTTATATAAAATATTTTGAAAATGCGTTACCTACCTAATGAGAAAGTCCTTTTTGTACGTACTTAAATCTTTTGTCCGTGCCAAACGAATTGAAAACATCTTCCAAACACTGCAATGAAATTCGAAACAACAACATGAGCGGGCGATTACCTATTCCGCTTGTAGAGCGAGCGCAGACTCGTGCCTTTAGGGCCGCTCATTACTTATGTACCGCCCAGCAGGCCCGCCCGACAGATCAGCGGGCCAAACGCAACGATACAGGGCGAATAAATCGGGTAATGTCTTGGAAATATCAAGCATACAGTTACAAATGTAATATTTTGTCAAGGATCATTTATTTATGAAACTGTTCCGTTGTTGACATCAGTCTCAACTTGAGTTCTGAACGTATGGGTCATTTCTGAGTATAGTATTTTTATTGTCATCTTTTTTTAAATCGATGTTAGAATATAAACTTCCAGTTCAAAATGAAATAAAATTATGGGAACGAATTAAGTGAGAGGACTCATCATATTTAAATCGAATGACGTTTCGTTCATACAAAGCTCGTTTTCAAACACTAAATGATGGTTCGAATCGTCACTGCCAAGCTAGGATGCGCACCACGAAAATTTTGGACGATATCATACTCTTGCCAACTGGATGCCGCCGGAGTGATGGCATTTCCACTTTTTTGCCCCTTGTCTAGGGAGACCGGGTCATTATTATAGTAACTCTCACGTTTTCTCGCAGAACATGCTGTTCTACTACGAGTCGGAGAACAACACGCGGCCTACGGGAGTATTGCTCCTGGAAGGATCCTACTGCGAGCGGCTAAGCAAGGCGCCTATGGAAAGGAATGCGTCGGTAAGTACATTACATGTTATGTATGTCACCGGAAAATAACAAGACTCGTAAGTTGATCAATTTTCTAGGTAGTTGATCAACTCTCGGAAAATAATAAACGGCAGTTGAAATGTACTATTTAACGCATTGAATTTTAGCTAATTGGTCAACTTACGGTACCTAACCGTAATTTATTAATTAACTATATTGCTACAAGTAAAATCATCCACAAATGGACCAATCGTTGCCCAGTGTACTATTTGACGGTACACTATTATCCGTCACTTAATACACTTTTCTCTGATTGGTCGACAGCATTAATTATAAGCATTTAGCAAGTGTTTATTCATAGAGTTACAAACACTTAGATATGTTGTTTTAATATTTATATTTTAGAGATAGGGATATTCAAGTTCGTCTATGCTATATTAGTTAAGTAAATGAAAAATGATTAAAAAAATAATTGGAGCTCAGAGTTTTATTATTGTAAGTTATATTAATAATAAGTATTATAATCAGTTTAATCAGTCAGTACAATCAGTGGGCTAAGTACAGAAAATAATAAGTTTATTTATTTTCTGTACTTAGCCCACTGTAGTACTTTTGTAACTCTGCATCAAAGTGTTCTCGATCGACAAAACTAGTATTGCTCACTGATTGTTCGTTTATTTCTACCACTACAGACTCCATTTCACTCATCATAAATAAAATCACGCGTTATAATAAGAATTATTACCAAACAAAACAACAATTGCTAATTTTACTACTGTAAATAAAGATAATAGATAGATTTATTTACGTTTAAACCGGTAATGGCGGCGGCCGGGTGGCGGGGAGCGGTATAAAAGCACGTGAGTCTTTTAACCAATCAACGTGCACCTTGCCTTTGTCGGATGATTTAACGGCAAGACGCCGTAAATTAATCAACTTACTAAAATACATACGTTAAATAGTACATTTCAAATGCCGTTTATTATTTTCCGAGAGTTGATCAACTACCTAGAAAATTGATCAACTTACGAGTCTTGTTATTTTCCGGTGACATGTATAAGTTAAAAAGAATTAATTTCTTAAATATAAAGTCTAAGGCTGAGTTGCACCACCTTCCTTTAAACTTAATATACCCGGTGTTTTGTGTATGGAGTTTGACAGACTTTAGACATTTATTATGGTTAAAGTACCTATCTAACTAACCCACAGAAAAAGAGATAAAAAAAGAGCTTAACTTGATATCCCTGATTATAAGTTTCATACAGATTGATTGCTTATGTATGACTTTAATGTTAGAACAAAAACATTGGGTCAGCAAGTTATTTTATACAATAGAACATTGAATAACCTTGGTTGCAGAGATCTAGTAAAACCTTTGCCTAGTTGTGGCCACTAAGTTCGTAACATGAATAAAAAATAACCTCACAGCAGGTTGTACATCAATTTACATCATTAATTCAAGAAAAGGTCGATGAACTTGCCCATTCTGGCAATAGAATTCCATACCTTACGAGCTCTTCATTATTTTTCAACTAATATTTAATAATATTCTGTGACTATTAATTCAAAACAAAGAAATTTCATTTTAACAAAATGACTGCTTTATTCCTTTTGAAAAACCAAATCTGAAACTGAACTCTGAAGTTTCCTACTAACTTCTGAAAATTTCTGAAGGAATTAAGCAACTTGCCTGATGCCGTTTTTATTGTTATATTGTTTCCTTGAGAATACTTCGGAATCTGTTTTGTTATGGTTTTTATGTTCGCTTGGATCGGATTAAGTTAGAATTCGCTTTCTTAAATGCAGGAAAATTGTTTTGTATTTCTGTGCCAGTACCATTATATTACGTTATATTAGGAGGTCTTGTTTAAAGAAAAAGAAAAGAACGACACATTTATTTATTTGAAGAAAAACGTTTACGTACTATGTTAACTTGTATACATTGACTATACAAAGTGACCCCTATGGCAACACGTAACAGGAATTTTGTTTTCATAGGGGTCACTTAAAAATTTGGGATTGATGGTGAAAATGGGCATTAGTAACTTAGTAATTGGGTCCCGTTTTTACCCTTTGGGAAGGGAACCCTAACAATAAGAAACAAGGCCAATAATTAAAAATACAATACCGATCAAGTAACAACACTCGATTCGTCAGCTCGATGTTATAAACCACTAAACGTTGCCGGCAGTTCTGCTTCACAATCTCGTACCGTCGCGAGAGCCAGCGGCAGTACGAGCTGCGAGCTGCTTCTGAAGTGGACTGCGTGCACTGGGTCGACGCCATCCGCGAGGCCAGGTGAGTCAACAACCTAGACTGCATCCCATTTAACACCAGGTGCGATTGTGGTCAAATACCTGCATTGTTATGCAAAAAAAAACACGTTTCTTTTGTAAACAGACGACGGAATCTCAAGCTATCATACATAAGTACACTGTGGTATAGATAAGTACCAAGTTGTAACAGGGAGTATTACAACACACAAACACGAAAGGAGCAGCAGGACTGTGTCCTATTTTTTCTAATTAATTTCCTTTCGCGATGAATTTGACCTTCGCTTGTTTTATTGGCGACGTGGAGCTGCGGATCCTAATAACGTAAGAGTTGCATAGTGTGGTACTGTGGTACGAGAAGAGGTGAGATAGTTTTTATTTTTAACTGCATATATTTTACTTTCTTAAGGATACTCAGTTACTTTGGGTATCAATGTTTTTATCAATAAAAAAATCTGTCACTTACCATCAGGTGAGATACAGGCCAAGAGCTTCCTCGTTGTGGATAAAAAAAAGGAACAAAAAAAAACTCGGCTTGCCTACATTTCTTTAGTCATTTTCGTGATGAAAATGAAACAGGAAACTGAAGGAATGTATTGTGTACTACCAGTCTACCAGTCAGCAAAAGGTATTCTTAGACAACTACATAAATTTTAACCTAACAATATAAAATAGGTAAAATATGACTATGTTTATACATAATATGTCATTCAAAATGTGTGTAATTATTTAATATGCAGACAATATGTCCGCTAATTAAACAGCATATCGGCTCATCCCATCATCCGCTTGGCTATAAATAGGCTCGCAGCGAGACATTGTTACATGTGCGCTACACGAGCGTGTCAGCGTGCATATCCATGCACGAAGGGTTAAATCATATTCGCGATACGCGAATCTCGTTATGTGCTATCTACATCGTGATAGACATTGCGTTACAGTAGTTCTGTAAGTTTTCTTAACTTATCACTAGCGACCCGCCTCGGCTTCGCACGGGTGATTAGTATTACATATTGTAAACCCTCTTCTTGAATCACTATCTATTAAAAAAACCGTATCAAAATCCGTTGCGTAGTTTTAAAGTTCTAAGCATGCAATAGGGTTAGATAGCGGTAAGCGATTTCTGGTTCTTCATAGGCATTTCATATCAAACTCGAAGAGTCGACTTGCTCTTAGTTACATAGTCATCTCTATTAATTGTAAAATTGATTCGAACCTGAAAAACTTTTTGTCCTTTCATCGGTTAGATTATAACAGATACGTTTAAAATACCATTATGTCGCTGAAAAGCGAATTAATTTTGTTTAAGAGAATCCAACTTTGTTGTGTAACCAGGTGTAAGGAGATTCCGTCTTAGTAAAGGGGAAAAGCAAGCAAAAGGCTTTGTATTCATAATGCACGGAGATTGGTATCTCCACCATTTTAATCCTGTTCGTTGTTCCATCGTCTTTGCCTAGATAAGTACATAAGCTGACTTAAAAGTTGAGTTAGCTTTCTGAAATGAAGGTTCGCATGTACATACAGCGTACAAAGTGGGTATAACAGGCACAGAATGATGTCGTGACAGTCAGCGCAATCACGCGATGTGAACATTTGTGACAACGCGGTGGCTAAATACTGGCAGTCGTGACACTGCGATTTAATTGGTAAATCGGGATAAAAAAAATAGTTTGGTACTTAGGTTTATTTTTTTAATCTCTTGATACTGTTCAAAAAGTCTTTTTTTGTTTGGCTTTTGGTTTAGGCTCTATCCATGCATGTACGGCGGATAGCACAATTTAGCATCTGTTGATGAAGGTGCTGTTTTAAAAAAAAATAGTTTGATGTACAGTTTTGCACGGTGAAAACGTTCACCTTTGACACTTGTAGTAGATTATGGCTGCACTACAAAAGGTTGTAGCCAGAAAAATCAATAGGTTATTTCTGCAATATCTAATGGACAGCGTAACAAGATAAATATCTCTCAAGTGGATAATCACGGTGCGGGGCCGGTACTTATGGCCGGTGTTTATGAAGATACTTAGAAATCCAAGACCGAGTATTGAGCCGAATGGTTCAATATTTACTTGATGGCCACACTTAAAGGCCACTACAGCTTCATACGAATTCGATATTATATAAAAAAAATCTCTATAAGTTTATTCTTTTGGATAAATTCGTTGCGAGCTCCATGGCAGTAAGCATCCCCCAGGACCTCTCAATTTTCACTGGTTGGGCTACACTGGAGACCAAACTATATCCTGGTTGTACAGCAGTTATAATGGGAGCGACAAGATGTAGGATTACACTTAAATCCGTATTGCAAAACAATGCTCAAAACTCAATTTAAGTCATTGATTCTGTTCTGTAATTGCTCTTAATGTTAAATTCAACTGATTGGTTTAACTGCAGTCCTAAAATCTATGCTTGAAATTGAATTGAGTATTGAGTTTCGTTCCTTCGCCTTAATCTTATAAGCGCCATACGAACCAAAGAAAAACAACAGACTTTTCTTTCCTACAGTAAAAAAGGCGACTTAAAATACGAAACAGAATCTCGGCTGTCCCACGATGACAACAATCAAATAATTCTTACGATCTCGTGTGTGCCGTATGAGTGCTTTTTGCTGTTCGCTCGGGTCGAACCTCCTTTTAGCTATTCCTTTCTAAATTCCCCTGTCGTCTCAGGGATACTGATACGCTTTGAAGATTTGAGTAAAAGAGAATATTGTTTGGAATTTTAGCGTATACGAGTAAAAAGTGGAATTAAATTTTAAAATTGTATTTGTTGCAAAAAGATATTTTTTGTTTTGATATTGTAATTGGTTTGTTTTCATTTCCCTATAGGAGGGTTGTAAATACTCGTAATTGTGATGGATTTGATTTGATAAAGTCGCTTACTAAAAGTGCATATTTCGCAATGTTTTTGTTCATTTCGTACATTTCATAATTTGAAATTAATCGCGAATATGACCTACCAAATGTATTCTGTAATTTAGTTCATCTCGTAAGTGTTGATGAGCCTTCTTTTTTGTTAATTTTAATAGATAGTTAATTGATTGAATAAAGGTTGTAGGATTTAATATTTCAGCCTTGTTAAACATTTCTGATGCAAAATGTCCCGGTCATCATTAGATACCTAACCACACTGTGCAGTGTGGTTACCCTACTCTAAGTATAATCGCACTGACAGCGATCGTTTATTGCTGAGTTTCTCTGTCCAAAAAATATTTGAAATCGATACTCATAATCGGTATTGTCTTCATTTTTTAACGTAAATGAAACATCAAATAAATTATTCTGCCTGTAGAAATGTAACTCACTTTTTGTAGCGGTAATAAATTAATGGTCTAGCTAGACGAAGTTAGGGAGTAAGTTGTGTTGTGATATAATTTATTACTGTGTGTAACAATATAAACACACTAGGTACCTTGTTTCTTGTATGAGCTCCTCTTTATTATACACTAGCTAACCCGGCGAACTTTGTTCCGCCTTAATGGCAATAAATAAGCAGACTTTTTTTTTAATTTCGAACGGGACAAAAAGTATCCTATGTCCTTCTCCTGGCTCTAAACTACCTCCCTGACAATTTTCAGCTAAATCGGTTCAGCCGTTCTTGAGTTATAAGTGGAGTAACTAACACGACTTTCTTTTATTTATATAGAAGATATAACTAGCTTTTGCCTGCCGCTTCACCCGCATGAAAGTTTGTCACAGATGGACAAAAATTATAGCCTATATGTTATTTTGGGTTATAAACAATAATACTGTAAAGTTTCATCAAAATCCGTTCAGTAGTTTTTGCGTGAAAGAGTAACAAACATTCAGACATCCACACAAACTTTCGCATTTATAATATTATAGTAAGAAGATACGAGTAGGATTGCTGCTATGCTATGGCAAAACATGCGAAAGTTTAAAGTATTATCTTACAGACTTTAGTAATGGTTCCGGTGGTTGTGGTACCCTTTAGGAACAGAACCCTAAATATGATGTTCAAGGACATTCAATTCGCCTCGCTTGCGGGTCAACATTTACTTAACGCTACTCTAATTATAATTGCAGATTTGTAGTTACTTCGAATTCAGACTAATATTGTGTTTGTTTCCAGTCAGGCGGTTGTTAGTAATAACATTGTTATTATTTATGCAGTAAAATCAAAGGGGTTAGACCAGCTCATTTTATACATTAGAAAATCTTAATACGAGTAATTTTGGCCACTGGCGTTGATTTAAATGTCGGTTTTTGATAAACTCTGCTTTGTAGTATTCTTCAGATTAAAGCATAATACTACCATCACCTTCCTACCTTGGAGCCATAAGGCGTACTGCGGAATACCATATTTATCTACACTACTAATATTATAAAGAGGAAAACTTTGTAAGTTTGGTTGTAATGAATAGACTCAAAAACTACTAGACCGTTTTTAAAAATTCTTTCACCATTCGAAAGCTACATTATCCACGAGTAACATAGGCTAAATTGTATTTTGGAAAAAAATAGGCGGGTCCGTTATAGGCTTGTATAATGTAGTCCACGCGGGCGTAGCCGCGGGCGGAAAGCTAGTAATGTATGTATAATTACCGACTATCGTTTTGTAAAATCTTTTGTGATGCGTATAGTAGATAGTTGGAATTCGCTGTGGATGTCAGTTTTCTAAAATTCTTACATACTGGGTTAAAATATAGGACAGTCAAGTCATCATAATATTAAAAGCATGGCTACACAGTTTCAGTGCAAATGCATACCAGTTGCAGTAGTGCTGTTGATGGCGGTTAATTTGTGGTCTACCACATAACAAGCTAGTGTTACTTACCTGTCGAAGCCATTACATAGTAATAGAAATAAATAGAATATAGTAAGGGTCGGTTAAGAAACTAAGAAGAGGAATTGTAAAACGCACGATGTTTTTCTAAGAAAAAAGTAGTTGGAATATGCCTATTATTATCTACACTTACCCGCTTATTAATAAGAAGTTAAACCTAGGATGAACTCTGGATTAAAATGTCATTTCCATACTAAATGACAACTTAAGCCAGGGTTCAAC